GTTTTAAGGGTTTTAAGCCTTTTAGGGCTGGCAAACGGGAGTCTTGAATACCCATAGAAGCCACTGCTGTGGCCTTGGGGTGCCTGTGTTTTAAAGCTAAAGCTTTTAGGGCTGGCAAACGGCCGTCTTGAATACCCATAGAAGCCCCTGCTGTTGCCTTGGGGTGCCTGTGTTTTAAGGCTTTTAGATTTTGACGCTTTTGAGGGGTTTCAAGGGTTTTAAGCGTTTTAAGGGTTTTAAGCCGTTTAGGGCTGGCAAACGGCAATCTTGAATACCCATAGAAGCGACTGCTGTGGCCTTGGGTTGCCTGTGTTTTAAGGCTTTTAGATTTTTACGTTTTTGAGGGGTTTCAAGGGTTTTAAGCGTTTTAAGGGTTTTAAGCCTTTTAGGGCTGGCAAACGGCAGTCTTGAATACCCATAGAAGCCACTGCTGTGGCCTTGGGTTTTTACGCCTTTTAAGGGTTTCAAGGGTTTTAAGCGTCTTAAGCCTTTTAGGGCTGGCAAACGGCAGTCTTGAATACCCATAGAAGCCACTGCTGTGGCCTTGCTGTGGCCTTGGGGATTTTTAGGCTTGGCAAACCATACGAAGCCATTGATGTGACCTCAGGTTTCCAGGGTTTATGGGTTTAGAGCTGGCAAACGACACGCTATTGGACGGCCGTGGGGACAGGGCGAAGCATTGAGGCATTGGACGCTAAGAAAGACAAGTTCCACACCTGCGGTGGTCCCAGGCGCCGCCCCTGCCTTGGCCAAGGCAGGGGTCGGCGGATATTCTGTATCTATTATGCAGAACCTCAAGAACCGAACTGGATGCCTCCAGCACGCGTCGTCAAGACAGACCTGCCCCACGTGATCCAAGTCGAGGATTGAGCCCATGTCTACAGCAAAACACAAATGCACAACAAGTTCATACGTCCCATTCAACGGAAACAATGCAATTCCCATTTAAAAACAACCAAAACCAATAGTAGTTGATAATTTCATTGCCCCTATAATATGCTATAGAAGACTTACTATAACAACCCCATGCTGCGCGCACAAATCTTTTCCTTTTGCCAGCCATCGATTGTGATATCCAAGAGCTGTCATGTAACTTTTATTCCCCTAAGGTTCACTTGGCTTGGAAACAAGAGGTCATTGCAAGCGCTCCACAATGGTTGCGCGCACAGTCAAAAGTTTCTCACGAGACATGCCTGCCCGGACATGTTGCAGCAGCGAGTGGCAAATCTCTTTATGGGCAGAACCGGTGGCTCCAATAATCATACGCCAGCGATGATCCTCTGTGCACCAACGGCGAATATAAGATTTCGCCGTATAATATTCAACTCTGCAGGCCCCGTAGCCTTTCGCTTGAAAGGTCTCGTTGTGATACTCAACTTTCTTCTTGCTGCTCTTGCGGCACGCATCCACTGTGACACGAGTCTCCTTCCCGCTGCGGGGCGCTTCAAAGCTCCAGCTTTCTTTGTTGCCTTTTTGGCAGCCTTAGCAGCACTAGCTGATGCTGGTCGCTTCCCACAAATTCATTCGCCAATGGGAACCCAGAACTCGCTCCACCCTGGCCTCGCAGGCTCGCCGCGCCGTCACCAAGATTCTCGAATCTCTTAGATCGCTTGCCGGTGCAGGGTCTCGCAGACAATCTCCATGCGCAGCTTCAGCCTGCTTGATGGTCGTGGCACTTGAAGAGATATGGTTTCGCACCTACGCACAGACGTGGACAGCCGTCTTTGCCTTGTTGACCCACAATGGTATGATGACCCGGCTTTTCTCACTTTCCTCCACCCGGAGTTTTACGGCAATCCGATCGTATTGGAGACAGAACCGGACCAAGAATTCCTGGGCTTCTACATCGCGTTCAACCCGTTCTCTCTATGGTATTGCCCCCCTCGAGATACCAGTCAAGTCATGGCACCGTATTCTGCATCACCGAGAAACAGTTCAACTCTCTGGCTTTGTTTCCCGACCATTTCCTCACGAGGAACAATTTCGAGGTTTTGCCGCCCTTCACAGACTGTACAGCCATGCTGGCTTCGCCGAAGCCGATTTAGTCTCTGCCGCCAAACCTATTCGTAAATATCTTCGTGTTTCAAAACTTTGGTAGAAAAATGCCAACTGGCCAGACAGCGTTCGTTCCAAATTTGTTTTACATCAACTTGCATCTCATTATGCCTTCCATTTTCTTCCTAATTTCTTGGAGCCCCGCAGCTACTTCCATCCTTGTATTTCACTGGAACGTCTCTCCTGCCATGGCGTCTTCTTCTTCGGCGACCACTCCTCTTCACAATGCTGTCTTTCATGAATTTCTTGAAGACGTTCACCATGCGTACCTGCTCCTTCATCGGGCTATGTCAATGTTACCTCCAACTATGATTCCAAATTTGGAGCCTACACCACTACAGGCGTGTGGAATCAACCTGAAGGTCTATTACCTTCACAAGGAGCTCATGTCGATACCTTTGTTGACAACGCCGACTTTCCCACACTGAGCCCAACGGGGGAAGAAGCACTCATGGAAGACTTTCGTGATCAACATCGGCACCTTCCCCGACCTCACCAACATATACAAGCCCCTGATCCAGCTGCTCTTCCCGATCCACCTATCTCACGTGGCTCGCCACCCACTACGAAAGCCACTCCGAAGCGACGTGTCGATAAAGCTACGCCAAAGCCTCCTGCCAAGAAGCGCAAGACTGTCTCTCCTCCTTCCTCACCAACGGAACCTTGGACCCAAGATGAACAACTCAAGTTGCGGGAGCTACAGTCCGACAAACAGAACCGCTGGAACTGGAAGAACGTTGCCACCAAGTTTGAAACGATCCGAAAAGGATGTCCGATACATGTGGGCAAATTAAGCTCCAACAGGAATAGCAGATTTGACCTTATTCGCGATGGATCTTCCGGAAAAACAAGCTGTTCGACTTCACTTCTCTTGTTGATTGTGCCTTACTCAGTTCACAATTCCCCGTCTTCCTTGTTAACACTTGACTCTGTTACCTTGCCCTTTGGCTTCTCAAGTTTCTTGTCTACTATGTAGTATCATGACTCTTCGTGAACACCTTGACCGATATTGCCTTCAACGAGCCATGGCGAATGACTCTCTCCCGATGGCCCTCGGCTCCAGGTCCCGTTCACCGGCTCGAGCTACATCTTCGGCATCTACATGTCCATTTCGTAATGTCCTACCAGCTCCGGAGGCTAACCTCGCCCACCCTTCTCCTTTCTACCGCACACCGGGATGGGTTCCACCACGCCAAGATCAAGATCGTCCTATTCTCGTCCAAATCGACCTGAAACCAATGCAACAGATGGCAACACGGGACGGGACGACTACTGGGACATCATCAATCCTATCACGGCCAACCACCTCCCGCCCAGCGAGTACGATGGACTCTACCTCCTCTACAAGGTCATTTTCCCCAACTACGCCTCACGCACCTTCATCAAAGACCTCCAGCGCATTGTTATCTCCTCCTTCATTGGTCGCTGGGCTATCTATGTGGATCATACCTCCTTCCTACTTACTTTGACGACGACTCAAGGCCCTCAGATTTTGGACGACCCCAACCAATCCCTCTTGCAGATGGCCAATCAACACTTCCCCAAATGGTGTACTCACCAACATTTGCACCATGATCCACGCGGCTATGGTCCACCGTGTGCCCGGGGGCCCGCGGAGGAGCCCGCGCGCGCCCGCGGCGAGCCCGCGGCGAGCCCGCGCTAGTCTTGGGCTATCAGGGGACCTATGTCCCTTGTCATTCTCTTTGTTCTCTTCTTTCTTGTTGGTAAGTGTATACTCTATATGCTTAATAGTGTTCAGTAGGGTTATGAGGTTCTTATTCATGCTGCTCACTTTGTTTTTTGTAAACTCCTCCAGTTCTGATTGTCTCACAACTTTCACAACATCACCGCTCTCAACATCTCCCATACCACCTACATACTATTATTCATATAGTTTTTTTTATTTAGATACATATTTATTTAAGGTTGAGGCTCAGGGTGCACTAGCTGTGCGTTTGCCCCCTTCCTCGACCTCAGCGGTCAATTTGCCATAGCTGGCCGCGGGCACTTGTGGTTTCTTGAGCTCTGGAGATCTTGAGCTGGTCTCTATCTCCATTGCTTCTCTTCTACCTGCTCGTGCCTTGCACCCTGGACTTTGTGGACAAGTTCGGGCTTTTGGCATCCATTTGTTTGTGGGCTTCTTCCCGTATCATTTGGATTTGGCTTCGGGTGTGCCGAACACTTGTTCCTGGGCTTCTGGAGTGTGCCTAACACTCGGTTTTATTGGTTGATTTGGGATCGCACTTGCTGTCATTCGCTTGGCCAACTGCGTTTTTTCCCTATTTGCAATTCAATTTCATTTCCTGGTTTATTCCTTGGGCCTGCACTACGTGGTGGTGGCTCCCCTTGTGGATTTGTACCAGTACATTTTATTCTGTGCTGGGCTTGCCCTTTGGTTGACTTTCCCAATTGGCTACCCTCATTGAATATATTCGGATTTTCTGCATTGCTAGCTGAACCGGGAGGAAGCTAGATTTTGTTGATGCTGAATTTCATTTTCGTCTTTGTGCTCTTCTTTGCCAACGACGACCTTTACAAGTTCCAAAAAGCGCCGGCTTCGCAGGCTGAGAGCGCTTGCCAGGTTCCGCTGGCACTTACACAAAACAGGACGAGTGCTTCTTTCTGGCCAGCAAAGGGTGAAAGTTGCCAAAGTCCTCAGCAGACACCATTCGAAAGATCCACTATTTGTCGTGGCAATCAAAAAGATGGACTCCTACCCGTGGCATTGTGGCTGCGGCAGGCTGAACGGCAAACGACACACGTATTGCCCTACATGCCATGCTCACTGGAGCGCTGGAACTCCTCACAGCAATGCTCCAAAAAGTCCACGAGCCCGACATCAAGCCGAGGATCAGTACACAACATGGAATTGGCCAACTGGCCGTCAAACCTCAAGACGAGGGAGGAAAAACCAGAATCAAAACTCCTATTACAGGGAGGACAGCATGAGAAGAAGTTCCAAAGGAGGAGGCAAAGGCAATCCTGGAAAGAATGTCCAAGCATCGCCATTTGCAACCCAGTCTTCAAATGCTGCAATACCTCCTTGGCCTTCACCCGAGACCAGCGTCAACTTGGCTCAGGCTCCAGTGGTACCAGCGTTGACAGCGGCCTCTCATGCAGAGCTCCTCACTGCAGTGCGCAAGCAGTACCCAGATATCACGCAAGCCCCAGAAGATATTCAGAAGGCTGTGGAAAAGTCCGACAAGGCGACAACCAAAGCCCTTACAACGGACTTGAACAAAGCCTCGAAGCAAGTTGGGAAAGCTGCGAGGCAATTGGCTACGGTGACAGATGCGCGCACAGCCCATCGCCAGAATTGGCTCAAACATCTCCGAGACTCTGTAGTCAGTTGGCAGAAACAATTACAACTGTTCAAGGACCAGCAGAAGGAATACAGCAGCCAGTTGGAGAAAGCCCACCAGGAGCTTACCACTGCGCGCAGACACCTTCAGAACTTGAACAAGCAGGCTGCAGCGATCGGAGCGCCAATCTCCTCCGAGACAGGAGAAGCCAACATGGAGACGGCCGAAGTGGACACCTCCACCTTCGAAGCAGAAGCTCAAGCTTTGGTTCAACAGGTGCAGGAAAGCCTCCAGCAGAGCATCGCCGCAGCAGCTGCAGTAGAACCTCACGAAGTGACATCCGACGAAGAGATGGATCGGAAAAACAAAAGGCCACGATCAATGGAGCCCTTTGGAGGGCCTGCGAATCAAACTGGGGGATTGGGAGATTTGGCGAATTCCTTACCCTCCTCGTGAGCATTGGCAGCGCAGTTCTATGTCCGAATAGTTGGAATGGACTACGCGAGCCATTTGACTTTGCAAAGGTGCCTGAGTTTGCTGATGCCTATCGCCTTCATGGAGATTGCGGTGCAGCATGCAAACCGGACCTTGACTATGATTCTTTGTACATGATCAGATGTCACAGCATACATTGGGAACCTACCTTCTTGGGTGAATCATCAGCTCTTGCTGCTGCTACCATCCTGCGAACTGAAATTCTGGGTTGGGGATTTGATGCTCCGCTACGGACTGCTAGCTCTTCTGCGTTGTTGAGTTTGCGACCGATCTTGCGTAGAGCCCATACCCCATACAATTGCCAACAGAAGTCTGTCGCATTCCAAAGTTTTGCTGAAATCATTGAGGACTTCTACCCGCCTATTTTGGAGCCTCATAGTGACTCCTTTTGGAATGACAACAGTGAGCAACAATCTCATCTTGAAGAATCCGATGAAGGAGATTTTCTCTCCTTGATGGCCAGAGCTCCGAGAGCCATTGAGCAACATGACAGCTCCAGCTCCTTTGTTGACTCAGACCTCGAAACTCATATGCCAACTTCACCAAGCTCTTTTGATGAGCAACATGCCTGGGCTTCAGTGCAGGTGTACGATCTCAAAGCTAACCATGCACATGGAAGAGTTCGAATCTTACCGCAAGAAGCCAATTTCGCTGAGATGCGCAGAATGTTAGGTTACACGCACCACGCTGTAGCAGACATTTTCTGCATTCAACCTGCCCCAGCTGACTTGCGAAATGCCAATATCTCACCATATCTTATCCTTGCGCATGACGATCTACTGTTTGGTGATCACAGGAAAGCTGTTCTTGTCGATGTTGAATTACATGGCGCATCCATTGAATCAACGATCGAGATCGACAGATACACAACCATGCTTCCATCGCCAATTCATAGATCACTCCTCTTGCGAATTGCAGGGGTGTCTCAATATTGCGCATTGAGGAAGAATAGATGTTTGGTATGGCACAGAGGAAATCTTGTCCCACTGCAACAGAAAAACACTCTTGACCTGCAGCATGGTGACTATTTGAGAATTGCTGTGCCGCCGTTTGAGCCAGAATGCATTTCAACTTACTATGCAGTCAAAGCAAGTCAACATGGCCTCACGCAGCGCCAGATTGTACACAGGCATCAGAGGAATCCAAATGCAGATGAGCTTTTCTCTGAGATTGAAGCAGCGCAGGGACAACCTGAGAGAGGTGACCATGATTTCTCTGGCCTTCTGCAACTGCAGCAGGACCCATTGCCTGGTAGTGCTGAACATATCCTCCAGGCTCACAAGACAGGTGAATGCTCTGCACCTCTCTTCACTGAGCAAACGCCAGACACCTTTCTTCCACGAGAAGTTCCCCGTCAGCAAGGTGTTAACTGGCCATCATGGTACAGTTCACTTCACAGAGCTTTTCAAGAACAAGCTGCAACAGCATGTGAGGAAGAAGGTCCAATTGCTTTTGTTACCACCTGGTATCTCCGAGGGCCAGGTGAATCTGTCAGTGAGGAAAGCAGGGTCTTGCGTCTTGACCACTATCATGACCTTTGGAGACAGGACTTGGTTGAATTATGGAATGACAAGATCATCCATGATGAGGTTTTGAACATCGAGTTTGTTCACCCAGAACCACCGCGCCATGATGCGAGTTGGACCATCGGCCATGTCATTCTCTATCAGCTTATCAGCAGGCCTACTGTTCCTGTACTTGTTGCCATCAATTTCATCACAGATAGAAGAACTGGACTCAATTTTGCGGCAGCCTCCTTACAAAGTCCTACAAGCGCCTTTCGAATCAGAGACACTTGTCGGCTTGCCAGAATTTGCATCGATCGACGTTGTGATCTACATGCCAATGATCGGGTTTATCAGCAAGATGAGCTTGTTTACCTACGGTCTGGACAATGTTTGATCTTCAATATCCACCCGCCAGTCATCGTCCACCATGTTGGTGATGATCAGGTTGTTACCCCACAGTGGATGACCACCAGCAGTCATGCGAACCCTGCTGTTTTGGAAGCTCAGCCAATCATCACTGATCAATCTGAGTTCACCCAGGAATTCTTCGAACACTGGGAGGTCCATGCCCGTGTTGGACCAGGCAACCTTGAACGGCATTTGCAAGTCTCCACATGGTGCCTCCATGCTGATAGACTACGCATGAATGATGAGGTTCGCCAAGCCATTCTTGGCGATGACTTTCACCTTTGGGAGATGCAGTTGCAGCGCATTTGGCAGGATTTGTTAGACCCGAATATCCCTGTAGAATTTGCGATTGCTTGGCATCCTCCTGAAAGCGAGTTCGATGCATCCCGCATCCACATCATTGTGCGCCAGCTTCTACAACAACACGAACGTGCAAACCTTGTCACGATGTATGATGACACAGTGCTGAACAATGTGCCTTACTCAACAGCAGTCATCTTGCCTGCCACAGTCAGCCAAACTGCTTTATTAAGAGCTGTGCATCGTGAACAAGATTGTCCACCAGTCAATCCTTACACTACCTGTACCACTTGGCAGCGAGGAATCCAATTCAATGATGTGAGGCAATTGCGATGCCATCATGGCATGACCTTCATGCTGATCATCAACTGGATTCAACAACCAACTTGGTCATGGGATGACCGCGATGACCTTCAGTCCAATGAGGCTGCCTCTTCTATGAGTTTGCTTCAGACCAAATGTCTTAAGCACAAAAACAGGCGCCCAACAGCTGGGCAGGTGGCTCATACCCAGCGGCCTGTTTCAAAGCTGAACCTTGAGGCACTCATTGAACCGCCGCAGACTGTGAACATTGATTTTTCGACAGTTCTGTTCCTGGCTGACGAACTTCGATGCCTTGATTACCAACTGCAACAAATTTGGCCCAGTGATTTGGAGGCTCCTGCTGTTACAGTCGAAGCTTTTACGACCTTGACTGCAGACCCTCAGTTGCCACCGCTTGCTTACCATTTCTTCACGGATGGCTCAAAAATTGCCAATGGGCAAGTTGGGTCTGGTATTGTGATGTTGGTACAAACTGTCCAAGGTTGGCACTACGGTGGTTGTCTTTACAAAGTCATTGAATCGGAAGGCTCGTCAATTTATGGAGAGCATGGGGCAATCATTTGGGCCTTATTCTGGGCTTGTCATCTCAGCAGCAAGCACTGGGAATCTTATGGCACCACTGCACTTGAGTTCTCATTCAACTTTGATGCCACAGTTTCTGGTTTTTCAGCAGCTGGCTATTGGCGTACACCACATGCCCTGCCGTGGAGAACATTGATGCGGAGCATTGCTCAAATCCTGCAAACCAGACATGGCTTCCACAGTATTTCCTGGAACCACATCAAAGCACACTGTGGTCATCCTTGGAATGAATGTGCAGATGCTTTGGCGAAATATGCTGCTGCGCACCCTGAAGCAGCTGGCCATAGTCGTTTTTGGGAACAGATTTTGCAAGACTCTTCGAAATTGTGTGCAGTGCAATGGCTCTGGTACAAAGAGCTACTTGAAGCAGGAGATCCACGAGTCCCTGCACTTATGAATGGGCATGTTGTTTGTCTCCAGCCAAGTTTTCGGCCTAGCCAACCTCCGTCGCAACAGCAGATGCAGACAACCGCTGTGCAAAAGACCCAATTGAAGCTTACGCTTGCCACAGCAAACATCATGACCATGGACCAGTCAGCCAAGACTTCCTCAATTTCCAGGCAGATGATATTGATGCAACAATTTCACTCTGCTGGATGCCATATAGTTGGAGTTCAAGAAACACGGCACCGTCATGTTGTTGGCGCCAGCAATGAATTTTATCACATATTTGGACATCCGGCTGATCCCAGAGGTCAAGATGGTATACAGCTTTGGATCTCCAAATCACTTCCAGTTGGGCCTGATTGCGGACCATTTGAGAGCGAGTCCGTCCGCATCATCGCTTCTGCTCCGAATTACATAGTTGCCAAACTCAAAGTTTCGCTTTGGTCTTGTGTGGTTATTTCATGCAGAGCGCCTCATTCAGGTCGCCCGCAATCTGAAATAGTTGCCTTTTGGTCCCACATCAATGGCATTTTGCAGCGAGTTGCTCCTCATGTGCCTGTTTTCTTTTGTGGAGATGCAAATGCACATTTAGGTGAAGTGCCATCAGCGGCTGTTGGGCAACTCCAAGCGACCAATGAGAATAATGCAGGAAAAATCTTTCATGAGTGGATGCTGAGGCATGATTTATTCGCTCCATCGACATTTGAGAAGTGGCACAGTGATTCTATTTCAGCTACTCATGTTTCTCCGAATGGGCATGAAGTTCGCATTGATTATGTTGCGCTCCCTACAGCCTTGAATTTCCAGCGGATCAAGTCTTGGGTTTGCGAGGACATTGACTTATCAATTATGCGTTTTGATCACAGAGCAGTGCTTTGTCAGGTTGAATTTGACTTCGTTGCACCTCAGCGGACACCAAAACAACGCATGTATCAACCTGATGTTCAAGATTTAGCCAACAACCTCCAACATGAGGCTTGTAAGCACTTCCTGCACTCTGCAATTGTGACACCACCGTGGTGTGTTGATCCCCACACCAGTGCTGCCAGTTTGACAGCCGATGCGTATGCAGCAACGTGCCAACTTGCGCAGCCACGGACTAGGTGGAGGAGGAAGTCTCACATCACTGATGGAACATGGGCGCTCGTTGATCGAAAAAAGTTCCTGTTCAAACAGCTCAAAGCCCTGAAGAGAACATTGAGATTCACCGTTCTCCAGGCTTGTTTCTTGGGATGGAAGCAGCAACGGCAATCACAAGCAGTTTTTCAATGCATCCTTTCAGATTTGCCCAGTTGGCTCTGCTTACATGACCATGCCATTGCCACCACCCAACATCAATTGCGTATTGCCTCTGAAGAAGCCAAAGTTGCGGTGCTTGAAGAGGATAGCAAGTTCTACCAGGCGATCGCTGCTCAAACCAACCACATCTACACCACTGAAGGCCTTACAAAGCTCTGGAAGCAACTGCGAGCTTTGTTGCCCAAACACAGGAACAAAACTCATCAAGCAAGGAGAGACATTGATGATGATCTTCAAAGGCATTTTGAGCAATTGGAAGCAGGAACTCCCATTGCTAAAGATGACTTGCGTTCCTCTTGCTATGCAAGAAATCAAAATGAAAAGGAGCAGCAAGTCCCTTGCCAATTTCTCAGCCTTGATGAACTACCTACCCTTGTTGAAGTCGAAAATCTTTGTCTGCGTCAGCGACCTCGAAAAGCCTCAGGACCTGATTGTGTACCTGCTGATCTTTGCAGGCATGGAGCCACTGCGTTAGCTCCACATTTGCATTCAGTTCTCTGCAAATCCCTGATCTATGGCATTGAGCCCTTCGACTTCAAGGGTGGAAGGCTTTGCGCAATATACAAAGGGAAAGGAGATCCAGACGACCCGACAGGGTACAGGGGCATCTTGCTCTCCAACACGTTTGCGAAGATTGGCCATGCATGGGCGCGCCAAAGATTACTTCCAACGTTACTTCAGCGCAAAACATTGGGTCAACTGGGGGGGCTCCCCTCACAGCAGACAATCACAGGAGTGCAAGCAGTGAGGCTGCACGGCATTGCTGCACAGCAAAAGCACTTGTCGAGTGCTGTTATCTTCCTGGACCTCAAAGCTGCCTTCCACCACATGCTGCGTGAACTCATTTTTGCGACGCAGAATCAACTTGTAGTTGGTGTGCTCACATCCTTCTTGGATGAGAAGGAATTCGACCTCCATCAGATTGCCTCAGATCTCGACCAACTTTGTGCCAGCGAGATCAAGGACATTCCTGATGGTTTGCGACGTCTTCTTCATGATATGCACCAACAAACTTGGTTTGTTCTCATGCAGAAGCAGGGGGAGGATCCAACTATTTGTACCCACACCAAGCGAGGTACACGCCCTGGCTCTCCTTTGGCAGATATTGGTTTCAATTTGATGATGACTCCTTTACTTCAAGAGGTTCACCAAGCCCTCATGGATTCCGAAGTCTTTGTTGCCGGTGCGAATGAGATTGGAACCTTTACACCACCTATTGCCTGGATGGATGATGTTGCCATCACATTGGCCACTGTTGCAGCTCATCAACTTGAGCCATTGATCCAGTACACCTTGGGGGCAGTGCATGGAGCTTTTCGACGCAGAGGTCTTACGCTCAACCTGGAAAGAGGCAAATCTGAAATCATTGTCATGTTCCGGGGTCCAGGAGCAGCTCAGTGTAGAACAGGACTTTTTGACACGGGTCGTGTTCCTACCGTCACTGCCACTACGGACACGCATATTCTGAATGTGAAGGTTACCACCTCGTATCGCCACTTAGGTGTGCGGTTTGCCATGAATTTGGACTATGCCCATGAAGTCCTTGTGAGAATTGGTGCAGCCAGACAGGCATTTGAACAGCTGAAAAAGCAAATCTTTTTGAATGTTGCCATTCCGATTGAAGGGAGAGTCACGCTTTTTCAGAGCCTAGTCCTTTCGCGACTCCTATATGGCTGTGCGGTCTGGTCGCAGCTTTCTACCGCAACTTTCAAGAAACTTGATGCTGCGATTATTGCCTTCTATAGAAGAATCTTCAACCATGGATTCTGGACGACTGCGCAGACCACAGATGAGGACTTTATCAGCAGCAATCGGTTGGTTCCTTTCAGGATTTTTTGGGCAAGACACCGGCTTTGCTATTTGCATCATCTAGCGCAGCATGGTCTCACTTTCCACAAAACCCTCTTGCTTATGGAATTTCAAACAGGCAGAGGATGGCTTTTTGAAGTGCTGGATGATTTGAAATGGATGGCTCAGTTTCATGAACTTCCCTTTGAGCTCCCAGTGTCTAGGGAAGATTGGTTCGACGCTTGGGCACAACTACGACAAGCGAGGTCGTGGAAGAGATGGGTTCGAACAGCAGTTCGGAAGCACCTGGAACAAGAGAAGATCGCATATGAGATACGTAATTACCATCAGAATATCCGCTCTGAATTTGAACGGTTTGGAATGAAACTGATGACGCAATGGGATATGAGTCTGCCGCAAGTTTCTTCAAATTTTGCATGCTCTCGCTGTCCTGCTTCCTTTCACAGTGCACAGCAGTTGGCAGCACATGCATTCAGACTTCATCAAGTACGAGCTGATGAAAGCTACTATGTGCAGACGGAGATATGCCCTGGTTGTTTGAAGAATTTCCATACGACTTTCAGAGTAATTCAGCATCTTCGTTATCGAAAGAATCTCTGTTGGGATCGTATCCATGGGGTGAGGCCACCCGATGTTCCAGGTCAGGTTACGTTGCCTGACCACCTTGAAGGAGTTCATCGTTTGCCTGCTATTCGCAGACATCATGGACCATTGAGACCCACCTCCAAACAGAGAGAATGCTTGCGTCTTCGCCAAGAGCTCAAGAGAGTTCTGGAGGAAGGTGAACCAGACTTTGCTTGGTGGGACCCGAACAGTCAACCAGATCTCACCTTGCGATGTGTCCAAGCCTTGAATGAGGTCTTGCAAACATGGATACAAGATGATCCTGCCACAATTGAGGGTTTCTACAATGCCTTTTTTCGATGCTTGTTTTCATTTGGAATTCCAGAGTTTCAAGCTGCGAGAATTTTCATCCATTGGGTTGAGAAGGCATTGCCTGATTTTGTCCCGGCAGATGAAGTCTTGCACAATATGGAGACGCTGGACGATGCACACATGTCCATGTTGGATGACCTTCACATTTGGCATCTTCGAAATCGATTCAAACAATTGACAAAACAACTGGAGAGACTCAACGCAGATGATGTCACTCCTCCCTCAGATCAAAGACCACCAGCCCAAGAGCGTCCTGCTCGCCAACATCTTATTCGTACGTGTTACAGCGCGATGAAAGAAGAGGAGCTTCACAGGAGACAGTGGCGTATGGATGTTCGACCTCAACGAGGACCGACCCCTGAGCAGGGTCCATATTACGTCATCCACATGTACGCTGGTCGGCGCAGGGACTATGACTTCCATCATCATATGGCGGGCTTAGTTCGTGACTGCAGCCAACCGTGGGCTTCCTCCATCATTATAATTTCCCTGGACACTGCGATTGATGAGAAGATGAATGTACACTCGGAGCAAGTCTGGAGCTGGCTATTGCGAACGGCAAGAGCAGGTCGCATACTAGGGCTTCTCCTAGGACCGCCATGTGAGACTTGGAGCAGTGCGCGACATGAGACTCAACTTGGAGAAGACGGAGCTCCCTTGCGAGGCCCTCGACCCCTTCGTCATGCTGATGAGTGCTGGGGACTCATGGGCTTAGCGCTCCGTGAGCTATGCCAATTGTCGACGGGAAGCTGCCTGTTCCTGCGAGGACTCTGGCTTTGCATTCCTGTCGCCCTTTTTGGCGGAGCTGTCTTGTTAGAGCACCCTGCTCCACCGTATCAGGAAGATCGAGCTTCGATCTTTCGAACTGGTATTGTCCTTCTGATGCTGAGGGATGGATGGCTCTTCAGACGGCATACGTTTCAACAATGGCGACATGGCTCAGGTGGCATCAAGCCAACGTCCTTATTGTACGCCAACAACAGCGTACCAGCAGTTCTCGATCGAATGGCTATTCCTGGTGTGGCCCGACCGCAGACTGCACTCATCGGCAGAGATGACCAAGGATGTTTTAGGACGGCAATTGCTAAGGAATACCCTAGCAATTTGTGTGCATGCTTTGCCCAATCCATTTGGGATCGGATCAGTTCGCTACCGTTGAGGTGTGGTGGCTCTGACCCCGACCAGATGGCACTTGAATTTGCTTCTTTGTCAGCTAGGGTTGAGCCCAGCAGGACAATGAAGCCAGACTATCAGCCTGACATGAGCTGACGGTCCAATTTTGCAAGGACGCCGCGAGGAATCTCAAAGGGCCGATCAATTTCGATATTTAGATATTTATCTATCGGTTTGCTTTTGCCTTAAATCTACTCTTTATTTTTTTCAATCATTTATCCAGGATACATTTTACGGTTTCAAGCGTTGTGTCCTCTTCCGTCGGTGTAATGCCTCTGCCCCATGTGAAATGGATGTTGTGAATGCCGGTTTCAATATTGATGTCTCCTTCCTTGGTCTTGTCAATGCTCAAACTCTTGTCGTTCTTACTTAACTTACAAGTGAAGGGGACACACTTGCACTGACAGTCGCCTTTCTTTTTGATAATCTGCTCGTTCTGCATTTCAAAAAAATTCTTACATACTGGACTTCTCCATGATTTCCTCTACCTCCTCTTCAATCGTCTGTATTTCAGCATCTTTCTTATTGTGTGTTTTCTTTGCCACCATCTATGTTATATTTTAGAGTTTTATTTTCGCGTTTTTTTCTCCGAAATTCCAATCAATACTTACAGCAACGCTTCATCTTCGTATCCCTGATGACCAAATACTTTGTATCACAAGCAACCCTCTTTTCAATCTCATCTATGGTGTCAATACATCGTTCATACTCGTCCATTGTAATTAGATATATTTAGATGATATAATGATATTGGTTTATTGGATATAATCTAATTATATACTGTTTCTACTGGGGAGATCATAGAAAACAAAATGATTGGTGGGGTCAAAAGAAAAAAATGGTACAACTCAAAAAGGCTTGCTTTCAAACGAATTCATTTCCGATAGGGATAAGAGGGCAACAAAAAAAATCAAGCACTTATGGCGATTGAAACAATTGTCCCAAGTTTTACTCAAAGCTAAAGGCGGTTTCCTTCAATATTGTATATCGCAAATTATTTTCTAAATATGTTTATTTAGTTGATATAAAACCTTACAAACACAAAGAGTATAATGGTAAGCAGTCATCATAGGGATATATGGCACTCTTACCAGCAAGTATATTATTGAACGCACCGTTAGGAACAGGTAAAACGGTTGCTTTGACTAATTTTGTTTTGTTCCACTCCTATAAGGGTTGCTTTCAAAAATCTACATCTCTTCACCGAACATGTTTATTGATGATGATTGAACGGTTGTAAAGAAATACATGGCGAACGAAATGGATATGAAACACACGGACGATGACCCCATCTACTTTGACACCTTTTGAAGAGAAAGACCTTAAGAAAGTAATAGACACATAGGAAGGAATAAAACCAAGTATGAAAGAGAAGGATTACAAACATGTATTTAACATGTGTATCATTTGGGCAGACAACGAACAGGTTGTAAGAAAGAACAAGGAATTGACATGTTTTTCATGACAGTTAGGCATTGGTATCTCTCAACCTGTCTCACCTCGCAATCTTATGCACGAATATCTCCAGTAGTCAGAAAGAATGCTACACAACTATTCGCAATCAAACAAATTTAGATGCAACATTGGAAGAATTAAGCGGTTTGTATGACAAGAAGACTTGAGACAAGATGTACCGAGTTGCCACGGGTGATAGGCACGGTTTCTTATACACAGGCATAATGGAAAGCGACAAGAAGAAAATGTTTTACACAAATCTAAATCAAATAATTCAAGTGGAATGATTGAAAACTTAAGAACGACACTTCATGTCATGAAATTCTCAAGCTTTCATGGACTCGGTCCTTGGGGTAATCCGCTTTTTGCAAGTGGGGGTTTCATCAAATTGGTTTGGCCTTTCCTGTCCATCCCATTGCGGTGCTGCAACCTTTTCCACGATCTTGGCTTCTTACCTCCTTGGACTTTTGTCTGGATTTGCCTTTGGCCTCGTGGGTATCCTCTATCTACTTGGATTTCCTCGACCCACTTGGTCATTACCTTCTGGCCCTGCCCGGGCATCGGCTTCCTCTTTGACCCGCCTTCAAAGGTACTTGCATGAGCACCAGCCCTGATCCTGAGCTTGTTGAACTGGCTTTGGAATTTGAGGGCCTGAGCATCACAGTGCGAGGTGCTCCAACTGCTGCCACGAATTTTGTGCAAGGTCTCCAACGTGGATCAGCCCATCATTCTGCAGCTGCGGGGTATCAGAGCCCAAGTGGCACGGGGGCACGAGGCAGAGCCCCATCATCAGCTGCCTCACCGTCAGCTTCTGTGGGTGAGACAAGGGACAGCATTTTGGCTTCTTTCCCTGCTTGTCCTGGCGTTTGGATTGGGCTGGCAAACCAGGAGCTGGGGTCCTCTCACAAGACTCCAGCAGAAAGAGCGAAGCGAGCCTGGATTGCAGGCAATTGGGCACGAGCTGTGGCACAGGGCCGAGTCAGCTCACCAAATTGCAGCGAGACCATCGAGCTGCAAAATCGATACTGGTGCGTGGTGCGCTGCTCCAATTGCCACACTCCACGTGTCTTCACATCATCATCAGCGTTCTTCAGGGCCACTGGACCAATTGAGGGGTCCAGCACTATCTGCCACGCCTTCCCCTCGCGAGCAGAAGCGAGGATCTACTTGGAGGCGGCAGGGAGTGATGGAGGTGGAGAACGGGCCCACTATGATGGCGTCCGAGCTTTTGCAAGAATTCAGAGTTCAAGTTTTGGAGATGCCAGCTGGCGATTCCCCAGAAGATGGTGTGGTCAGATTGCAGTTAATGCTGAACACGTTTCAGACACCTTGGCATCATACGGGCGAGCCCTTTTCTATGCTGGAAAGCCTTATGGAAGGTACTCAGAGACAATCAACGCAGTTGTTGGACGACGGCCACACCTGCGTCGTTCTCCGATTTCAGCTTGGGACGTTGCTTTTTCATGGGTAACGGATGAACCGCATGTTCATCACCCTGCGATGCCTCTGTCCGTTGTTTTGGCATTTGGAGGTTTAGCCCTCCTTTGGGGATGGCCAGTCGAGGCATCCATTTTTCTGATGACATGGTGTGGAGTGCTTCGCATTGGCGAGGTGCTACAAGCGCTACGAGCTGACCTGGTATTACCATGTGATGCGGCGCCAGGATTTCCAGGCGCCATCCTGCAGATCAGGCAGCCAAAGACGCGAGGTTCAGCCGCGCGTCATCAGGCAGCCAGGATCGACCCGGAAGACATCGTAGCGCTGCTGACTGCTGTTTTTCGGAGAAAGCCGAGACAAGAGAGACTGTGGGTACTGTCTCCATCCACCTTGAGGAAGAGGTTTGCTACGCTGCAAAATGCACTTGGCATGCCTGTCAAGTCTCTTGGCAAGCAGGTGCCCTATACGACCTTGCTAGCCTTCGAGCAGGCGGAGCCACATTCCTCTTGCAGAGGTTTGAAGACTCTGAACTGGTACGTCGCAGGGGACGGTGGATCAGTGCACGAGTCTGCGAAATTTACATCCAGGAAACGTGTGTAGCAACCCATGCGGAAGCGATGCCGACAATTGCCTTCCAAAGGGTTCAGAAGCTTGCCTCGGCCTTTCCGGCTATCCGGGACAAAGCCATTTTCCTCCTAAATGCCCACATACCAACGTCAGCATGGCCACGCATGTTTTACACAAGCATGAGAAGATTGGAGGTGTGGATCAGTACAGAGCCTGGCAACTCATGCCTGGCTAGAGAATCTACCAGCTTTGGAGTGAAAATGGCGTGGAGTTCTTGAACACTTAAGAACGACACTTCATGTCATGACATTCTCAAGCTTTCACCCAATCAACCCGGCCCACCCGGTCAAAACATGCGTGGGATCAGTACAGAGCCTGGCAACTCATGCCTTGCTAGAGAATCTACCAGCTTTGGAGTGAAAATGGCGTGGAGTTCTTATATAGTAAACATATTGTTGAATGTTATTATCAATCACTCTCGGAGTAGTTTTGGGTGGATGACCGCTTTGTAAAGTTTCTGTGCTTCCTTAAGTTTTTCTTTCTTTCCCTGCCCTTTGGTGTTTTTCCATCCTTTGTATATTTCCATCCTTTTGTCCATCTCTTCAAACTTCTCTCCTATCACTTGTATGCCTACCCTGTGGGGCGCTATCGCATCGTCTTTGTCTGCTTTCTTTACTCGTGTTTTCGTTGATCATTCATGGGAATTAGATACCATCCTATTAATGCTATTATTGTTTCTAGTTCTAGTGCTTTGTGAAATTGGCTGACGAGATTCGCACTGGACGATTGGCTGCTCAAAGCTCTTTGAAAGCATTCGAAGCACGAAAGATGATGATATCATTCCAATTCTTGGGTCCCTTATCAGTTTCTCGAAGGTTCCACTGAGCATGTTTGTGCAGACCGAGGGTTGGTGCACTGCACTGGGGGCCAGGCCACCCTGGATGAACTAAAACATCATTGCGAAAAGCAAGGCACAGACCCGCCAGATATGCTGGGCATGTTGAGTTTATCTTCTTTGATCATGGACAAGTGACAAGTGAAGAGTGGCTTGTCCCGAAGAACTCTCGAAGATAATGGCCAACCACAGGATAGATTCTGCACAAATCTGCTCAAATTGCGCTTTCAAGCCGTTGTACTGCAGAATTTTGAGCAAGATGAGAGCTGTTGATGTGAACGACAAACTTGTTTTGGGCACGGACAAACTTGGCAGATTGACTCGCCGAGGTGATGCCCTGGAAGACCTAAAATCTTCTCATGCGAACGTGTGCAGCAAGACCACGCTGGATTTGCACCATGCCACACTCAAGGACCTTAGCAGAATGGTTCTCCATGGTTCTCCTATGTTCTTTCGCAGAAGGGTTCTTTTTCTCTTCCGTACAAGTGAGTCCAAGCCAATGTACAACAGAACTTCTTCGATGGGCCACAACGAAGTGAATGCTTGCAGCGGTTGGATAAATGTGTTGCAAACCAGACACTTGAGTTCCCAATTCCGACGGTTGCAATTCAGGGTGTCATGTCAGTGTGTCTCTCAGGCTGGACCGGACTAAGCCTCCGCTGTGTGGCACTAATGAAGTGTACTTGGATCATCTGAAATCTGAAGCATCAAACTGTTTTCCTCTCCAGTTTCATTGTCACTC